CACACACACACACACACACACACACTCACACACAAAACACATCCGCAGAACCTTCACATTAGATGAAAAAAAAAATAAGCATGCAATAATGTTCAAAACACATCAAAAGTTCCCAAAACGAACCTTCTCAGCAGAATTGAATAAGTCAAGATATGTTGGAAAAAAACATTGTTGGATGTCGACCTCAGAAACGGAACCGATGAAAGGTAGATTTAATTACAGAATCTGAGTTATTTATGGTCAGACAGGCAGGCAGGCAGGCAGTGGATGACTTGAAGTAGGAGAGTTCCCCTGAAGCTGGTGACGTTTACATTCGGTTCATCWGGAGGTCCCGAGACCGGTTTCTCGTAATGAGGCCGAGAGAAAACAGCTGAACTTAGAAAGCAGAATGGAGTGGATGCAGTTCTGAAAGGTTGGACCTCCAACACAGAAAACAAAATTAATACATTCGAAAGTCAAGTCAGTAAATCTGTCGTCTTTGATGACAAAGAGATGTGCCCCATCTCACTTAAGTTATAAACAAAGAAATATCACCTCCCTCCAATACTCTCCATCTGCTAAAGACGTGATCAAAAATATACAGAGCCCGTCCAGTGACACTGGATAAAAACATTATTATAAGGCCACGTGATAATACCTTGTGACCAGGTGCTAGTTAATGTGTGGCCAAGAGATAATTTTGAGCAGCCGTGTCTCTTTGTGAGAGATACAGACATTGTTGGAGTCAGATTATGTGTTAATATGTTTTTGTATTCGATGAGAAACATTTTATTTTACTGTGTTTCTGAACGTAACGTAACAGACTAATTCTGCAGCAAAGGCGCAGGGTGCGAGAGGAGTTTGTTTTGAGTGTTGAGCTAAAAATATAAATCTTTTTAGACAAAGACAACTCCATCTGTCACCTGTGTCTTGTAGCTGTAACACACTGTAAAGCTGTACCTCATGCCTAACCACAACTGACTGAAGTCTGTCATTCATTCCTATAATGAAATGAAATTAATTCAAACTGGTCCGTGTAAACAGTCAACAGTCTCTGCATGACTGCAATAACTACCTTGTGGCCATGCATTTCTATCATGATCATGCATTAATTGTCTYGTGGACATACACTAACTAATTTGTTGCCAGTCATTAACTACCTTGTGGCAGTGCATCAACAACTTTGAGTCAATTCTTTAACTAACTTGAAGCCATGCATTAACTATATTGTGGCCATTCAAGAATTATATTGTGGCCACACTTTAACTATCTTGTGGCCATGCATTAACTATTTTGTGGCCACGCATTAGCCATCTTGTGTCCATGCATCAACTATCTTGTGGCCATGCAATAACTATCTTGAGGCCAAACATTAACCATATTCTGGTCATGCGGTAACTGTTTTGTGGCAACACTTTATCTTGTGGCTACGCATAACATATCTTATGGTCACGCATTAACTAACTTGTGGCCATGCATTAACTATTTTGTGGCAATGTTTAACTACCTTGTGGACACGCGTTAACTATTTTGTGGCCATGCATTAACTATTTTGGTCATGCATTAGCTATATTGTGGCCACACCTTAACTATSTTGTGGCCATGCATTAAATATTTTGTGGCAATGCTTTAACTACCTTGTGGCATGCATTAAATATCTTGCGGTCATGCATTAACTATATTGTGGCCACACATTAGCCATCTTGTGTCCATGCATCAACTACCTCATGGCCAAGAATTAACTATTTTGTGGCCATGCAATAATTACSTTGAGGCCAAACATTAACCATATTCTGGCCATGCGGCAACTATTTTGTGGCAACACTTTATCTTGTGGCTATGCATAATGTATCTTATGGCCCCACATTAACTAACTTGTGGCCATGCATTAACTGTTTTGTGGCGGCACTGTAACTACCTTTTGGACATGCATTAAATATCTTGTGTCCATGCATTARCTAATTTGGTTATGCATTAGCTATATTGTGGCCACACTTTAACTATCTTGAGGCCATGCATTAACTATCTTGTGGACATATAATATCTGTCTTGTGTCCATGCATCACCTATTTTGTGGCCATGCAATATCTATCTTGAGGTCAAGCATTAACTTTATTCTGGCCATGCATTAACTATTTTGTGGCAAGACTTTATCTTGTGGCAATGCAACAAATATCTTATGGCTACACATTAACTACCTTGTGGCCATGCATCAACTATATTGTAATATAATTTCCATGTGGGATCAATTAAGTATTTTGAATTGAATATTGTGACCACAGATTAACTATCTCGTGACCATGCAATCTTAAGGCCACGCATTAACTATTTTTTGGTCATGCATCAACTGTCTTATGGCAAGGTATTAAGTATATAGTGGCCACTCATTAACTATCTTATGGCCACTCATTAACAATTGCGTCACCACMAGTTATCTTGTGACCAAGCATTTTTTTTACTCCATTGTCACCGGACAGGCTCCATAAATATAAAACTGTCTCTGTGGAGTTTCTTTCATCCAAACAGCTGATTTAAAGCTTCCACCAGGCTTAACAATATTTTGTCTTTCTTCCAAGTAAAACAGCAATTATCTCACAAAATGACATCTTATTCAGKTTTTCTTTTTGTCACTTTGGTACTGAGGTTTGGTCTTGGCTTTAACATGTTTTATTATATTCCAGCAGCCACAAATAAAAAAGGCTCAAACCTTGAAACTTCGAAAAGTTTTAACCCCAACATCTGCAGACGTTTTAACACAGAAAGTGAAGCGATAGTACATCCAAGTGTCTTTTTTTTTTTTTTAGGTTTTCAGCCCAGAACTACGACGTGAAAGGGTTACATCACCGCGGTGGAGAAATTTGCTTTCCTATTACAGGAAATTCTTTTGTTTCCAGGCAACTGTAGTCGCACAGAATTTGTCTTTGGATTTGAGCCTTGCTCGTGCTCTGATGATGTAATCCCTTCAAGGTTTATAACTCTGGATTCATGATTCAGATTACAAATCCATTTATTAACACATTATTTTGTTTCCCACAAATAGTACACTCCGCTCACACCAGCAGCACCGAAGTGGCCCAACTTTTTAAAATTTTTTTATTTTTTGGCAAAGTTGTTCTTGCTTTGATTTAAGGTCCGTTTGAAGGGGGAAGAGTCTGTCGTTCTGCTCGCAGTCAGGAGGGTTTGTTTTTCCTCAMAAGAAGTCCTGACCCGCGACAACCAAGGAACGACAACGCGCCGCCGGAGGAAAGAGAGAGAGAGAGAGAAAAGAGACGGGGAAAGAAAAGAACAGCCATCCTCCCCCTCCCCTCCTCCCCTCCTCGYGGCCTCCCACTCACTCCTCGCACACGGACTCGCTCAGGTCCACAGCGCCGCCCCGGGTGAGCCGCCGCATCTTGCTGAAGTCGTGGTCGGTCCTCAGGTAGGAGAGCGAGGGCCCCCCCTCGCTGTGGCCCGCCAGGTCCTGGGGCTGGGCCTGGGGCGGCAGGGCCCGCATCTCGCCGCCGCTGCGCCAGTACAGCGTGTACTGCTGCGGGTCGGACACGCCGAAGGTGGCGGCGCACAGCTGCGCCAGGGCCTGGCTCGTCTCCCCGGCTCTCCACTGCAACGTCCGCACGGCGCTCCGCTCCCCGTCCTGGAACAGTATCCGAACGCACCTCTGAAGGGAGGGAGGGGAGAGGGAGTAGGAGAAGAGATGCAGAGAGGAGGAAGAATAAAATAAATAAATGAACAAATAAATAAATAAATAAATAAAAAGAAGGAGTGAATATATACTGTGTTCATGACAAACAGAGGTCAAGAGGCTTATGGATTGAGGTCAGATGAGGGGGAGGACAGAGGGATGGAGCCAGAAGAGGAGTGAGAAATAGATAATCTGCCACGGTAATAAAAAGGAAAATCTAAAACAAAGCTCCTGTTTCCCACACACGGTCATCCAGGTTCAAACACTTTACAGAAAAAGGGAAAAAAAATCACTTTCAAACCTTTAACGTCCATCCACAAAACTCACGCCAAATCCAAAAGTACTCAAAAATCCACCAATCTTATTTCTGTCGAGCAGCTCGAGAGAAGTTTCCCTCTTTTTAATCCCCAAAGAGCAAAACCAACAATCCGATCTGAACAACTGCCTCTCTTCAAACACTTCATTATATAACATTAGATTCCACCTCCTCTTACAGGTGGCCTTTTAAACCTCTAAAAACCTGCAACAAAACATAAACAAAGTGGACATAAACCCCCTTTATCAAACATCAAGCCTTAAGAAACAAGCAAATCCTCTCCTTTGCTCCACACACGCTACGTCCCACAAGTGCACAACCACGCTCCTAAAAAAACAGACAGATCAAAAACACACAGAAGTCAATCAACAGGTGACTAAAACTCACAGAGTCACTGAGCTCCTCGCTGTCCGTGTGCATATTGTGTTTGCCTGCTTCGATGGGTAGACGCAGCTCGATAAATTTCATGTTATCTGACCGCCCACCTCTTCATAGCACTTGGCTCACTGATCCTCGCCTGTGTCAGCGGAGAATCTGGCTGCCCGGTGAGTTGGATCGGCTATTTGAAGCCAGGAAGAAGCACCCACGTGATGAGATGGAAACGTGGATGACAATTGYTTGTTTGTTTTTATTTATTTTTTATTATTTTTAATGGCTTTTAATGGCCATCACACCAACCTGTGGCCAGGTGGGTGATAAAAGTCAGTGTGTGCGTGTGTTGGTATTAGTGGAGGCTCCTGATCAGGGGATTACACCTCTAAAAATGACTGAAAAAAATAATCCCTTTCAGAATAAACACGAGGCACAGACGCACACAGAGAGCTGGAGGCGGGGGGACACACTGGACAGGGTACAAGTTCATCACAGCCACATGAAGACAAAAAAAAAACATTGGGAAAATCCCTCGACGTCTTCTGGATCAGAACTAAAGTGATCCCCAAACTTCAATTAAACATGGATTCCCCCTCCCTCTGCAAATAAATGTAGGACAATGAGCTGCTGCTGAGTTTGTGTCATCATTACTATAAATAATACTGTCATGTCTGACCCTGTTTTAGATGTATTACTGTTGTGTTTATGTAGTTTATACTCTCCTAAAATAAGAACGTACAAATATATGGCTCTCAAAATGTTAAAATGAAAAACTGTGAAAGAGCTTTATGGACATACAACAATACAGAAAAAAAGTTTTGACTTTAATTTCAGAATTTAGAGATAAAAGTCAGATTTCTAAAAAAAAGATTTAAAAAATCTGAATTTAGACTTTTTTCTTCAAATTAAGAGATAAACATTTGAATTCTGTGGAAAAAGTCAGAACTCAGGAAAAATTTTGTGTTTTTTGTTCGGTGGCCCTCATCCTCTGTATGAAACTTGGAGAAAAATAATATCTTCTTTGTGTTAATTTGAAACATATCAGATC